GTTTGAGTCCTTCTGCACGCACTCCAGCAAAGAGAGCAAAAGAGAGCGCTTTGGTCCCTCATCCGTCCATTTTGTGCACCTGAGCAAACCACCCAGGAGAAGAGATGCTGCTTCTAAGTTGCAGGATATACCTGAAACAAGGTGTGCTCATCCTGACACACCTGAGAAGTGACTTGGATTTCCCCACTATGGCACTCTGTAACTTGGAGAAGCACCCTGTAACCCCCATCTTCCTCATTTGTATATCATCGTGATCTTATATATAAAGCATGCCTTGTGAGGTATCAGAGGAAAGGGCAAGGGGACTTCTGTCTGAGAGCCCCTCCAAAAACCAAGCTGGATACTGCACCAGCCCTCCACAGGGAACACCACCAATACTTGCTACTGAAGCTCCAATGCTAGAGAGAGTCAGCGTGCAGCCGTAACACTTGGACAAACACAGCCTCCGTCCTCCCCTTTTGCCTTGAACAGCTCCTGCCTCCAACACAGGAGAAGCTGGCAGGGTTTCAGGAGAAGCTGGCAGAGGTGAATCCCAGGTAGCTCACAATCATTGGATGGGCGACAAATGGTCCCAAACCAAGTTGATTCTGAATATAAACCCACCGGAGCTAAAGCTAGACGCTGAAATTCAGAGCCTGGGGATGGGGGAATTCTCAGAGAGGGGGGAGGTGAGATGAAAAGAAACACAAGATGCTGGGCTGCCATGCAGCAGGTATTTGAGGAGACATGCACCAGTGTCACACTGGGCAGCAGCCTTTCTGTGTCGGTTGGAGAGGTGCGCTAAATAGTGAGGAGCCATTGACACCAGCCACAGAAGTGAGTGACCGGTTCCTGGGGGACATGGTGTTAGAAAAAAGCCTCTCTCTAAGGCCAGGAGGGATTCACCTGCAGGACATGCAGCCGACAGAGATTTTTGTTGCACTTGTGACCGTCAGGAAGCCCTGCTCTTTAAGGCTGATCTCTTAAACTGACATCTGCTCTGTATCATCTGCTTTATCTTAAAACCCTGCAGGAGGAGGAAGAGGCCTTATCTCACTTCCCTGGGAGGGGAGATGATTCAGTGCACCGCCCTGGGATATTTACACCTTGACTCATTTTGTGCAGTCACATTCCTGGCTGAAGTTTTTGCAGGGCACCCACAGAACCCACACGCTCATGGAATTCATGCAGATTTGAGCCCACCCTTAAGCCAATCTGCCACTAGTGCACCCAGAGGGGCGCCTTACTGCACAAAGTGCCCCTTGACAGGGATAGAGGCCACCCACCTGGGGAGTCAAAGGTGGACAGAGTCTCTGTGGTGAAAACTCTAAACCGAGCTTGTGGAAAGGCAGAGCAAAGTGTCTTATCTCCCTCTGTGCCGGGGAGGGGGCAGGACAGCACTGCTGTCTTCCCCAGGAAGCCAGCCAGCCATCTCTCACCAATTGCAATAGGCTGAGGAAAACAAGCTCTGTAACTCAGCAGCAGCTACTGCATGTGCAGGACTGCTGGCCTCGCCTGTGCCAATGCAGGTGCCGTGGGATTCCCTCAGTCCTGCTTCAAAACATGCAGGGTCCTGCATGCTTAATCTACACCCCTGCTGCTGCTGGGCACACATGCCTCCCTGATGTGTCAGGGATGCATTGAACACCTTTGCCTTAACTCTCGACCACACACACTGCAGGGAGGGGGACCAGTTTGCTGGAGCCAGTATGGGAGTACTGCCCCTAGCCGGACATCCCCGCTAGTGTCCCATTAACTGCTGAGTACACTATATGCCTTCTGCCAAGGGGTTTCCTTGCATCAAATGTGGGATCCACATTAGCAAAGGAGAGACCAGGCTGTGCATACCTGAGCCACAGCAACGGCGGGGAGGCGGCTCTTTTTATCTTCCATTCCAATTAAAAGTGCAGATAAAATAAAAATTCACAGGGCCAATGGGGTCAGCAGCCGGGAGGCATTCCAAAGTGGATAAGGCTGCTCAGAACACGCTCGCCTCCGGAGGCAGGTCTAGCAGTGCCCTCGTGTGGCAGTCTGTTCTAAAGGCAAAGCACAAAGAGGGGCTTCTCTCACTCCCTTTAGCAGATACAATTCCTCTTAACGACTCAGCACCTCTGGCTAGGAAACAAGGGCTACGTCTCTCACTGAATAAACCTTTCATACAAAATCCATCTAGTGTCAGCCTACACACAGTGACTGTGCTCATTTGGGTCACTGCTGATCTCCCCTGGCAATGGCCAGAGAACAGGTGCCTACAGGGGCGGCCCGTCCATATAGGCGAACTAGGCGGTCGCCTAGGGCGCCAAGTTAAATGGGGCGCCAAATGGTGGTGCAATATCATTGAGGGGTTTGGAGGTGGGGGTGCCGATTGCATGGTTTGCCTAGGGCGCCAGTTGCTGGCAGCTCGTCTAGGGCCGCACCTGGGTGTCTATCTCATGTGGCATGTTTAAAACTATCAGTAGTTTATAGCACTGAGCATGATGTTTGGTTAGTGACTTACTGGCTCATAGTCCAGGATTTCCTGCAATGCTGAGGGTCTTTAGGTGTGAAATTCACTCCCCCCAGTACATGATAAAGCTCATCTCTTTGGTCAGGCTGGTTTGGGCAGTGTTTGGAGGTGGGATGGAATGAGTTACAGACCAGGGCTTGTTTGGAGTTGACTCTGCCATCTGTCTTGACACCAATAAGTGGTGAGAAACAAGCATGCACATTTTAGGGAGAATGCCCCCTCCTTCAGACATCTCTCACCCCTGGCTGTCTAGTCTGCACAGAGAAACATGGGGAACAAGTCTCTCAGCAGCATGCGCCTGCATTTTCAGAAAGGTGTAGGATTAAGTCTTCCTTTGTCTGCTTGGCACATGCTGCCAAGTAAAAGGATGGGGTACTTTTAGCATAGAGGACATTGGCCTACCCCAGGGGTGGGGAACCTAAGACCTGGAGGATGGATGTGGTCCCTGGGTTGCGTGGATCTGGTCCCTGAGGCTTAGGGCCTCCCCCAGCATTGGGGAGCCCACGCTGGCACTCCAGTCCCACCCTCCATCACCTCCCTGCAGCTCCTGACCCCCAATTCCCCAACTGATCGTTCTGTAGGTCAGTAGCCCCTAGGGTTGTCACATGGTTTAACCAAAAATACCAAACACAAAAAAAGGGGGAGACCAAAGTTGTTGAGTAAAAGAAAAAAAAAAGACCCAAGAGTTGTTAAGCAAAAAAAAAAATAAAAAAATAGCATGGCCCCTTTAAGAAATGCTTTTGAGGCTTTTTGGCCCTAACAGGCTGCCCGCAGCCACCCACCATCTTGTCTCCCTGCTCCGGGCCAGACAGTTCCCCTGCAGAACCAGGTAAGCACCCCGGATTTTCGCCTCCTGGACAGGAAAAAGTCCGAAAATAGCGGACATTTTAGGTGTCTGGTATTTTCTGAATGTTTTTTACCGGACAGGAGGAGAAAATACCAAACTGTCCGGGTCAATACCAGACACCCGGCAACCCTAGCAGCCCCCGACCTAAAAAGGTTCCCCACCCCTCTTCTAGACCCTACTTTCAAAATCTCTTATCACATCAACCCGCCTAAGGACAAGGGAGATCTGCGTAGCAATGGGCAGCACTTTGCTACCAGCACCTTCCTGGTAGAGATTGGAGGGCTACAATGACCCACTTTTCCCATCTTTCATGTCCTTTTCCTAACACTACCCCTGTGAAACTGCTTTACCGCCCCCTTGTGGAGGAAGATGACATTTCCCCACAAGAGGATGCTTGGCCATTTTATTTTAAAACAGATTTTCGCTACTGCTCCACATAGGGGTGAAAGATGAGGGCTGGTCCATGCTAGGATAGAGGTCAAACTCATCTTTAAGTCTTAAGTGAACTGACTTTGGTGTTCAAAACAGAGAGTACACTTCAAAACCATCATACTGCAGCTCAACTGTATTTATGCAACACCTGGTAATGTGGGTAAGAGGCCCAACTCATTTTTCAGAAGCACAGCATGTTGGATATTCTCTACCTTGCTGAATCCCAAGGTTCTACACAGAAGTAGCATGCACTCTAAAGGCAAGTGCCAAAGTCAGAGGGAGCTTGCTCAGAGCAGCATTGACAGAAAGTTTGCCTTACAGTTGCCTGCCCGAGGTACAAAGCCCATTTTCATTGCTGATCACTGTCTGTCCTGTATTAGAGAAGTGTCTTACTTTTTAATATTTACCACCAACTCCTGGGATAGACAGAGGCAATAATAAGCTAGCCCTTGCTAAAGAAATGAGCTGTAATTCTTACTTAAGCACACCTATTATGTCCTTGGAGCCAGCAATTTGAAGTTCAGTTAATTTAGAAAATATTAAAATGTCATTTCCACAACTACACTGGCACCTGCCAGTAGTGCAGCTTCTGAAAATAGGTGGCTTTGCTGGGTGAAGGTCCTTTACAAGCAAAAGAGGAAACTGAACAGACAGAAGGCTTCTTTTGTGCAGTTGTCAGCAATCAGAGAAATTACTCTTTAAACTTCACGCTGTAAAAATCTTTAGTGTTAAAAATATTCCTTGTGTCATTATATGTAAGTGGAAGTTTTAGCTCTCACATTTATTTAGCTACCTCGGATAGAACGGATGTAAGCAACTAGTTGACTACCCGCTAAGCAAAAGCTCAAATGGTTGCTTTCCCCAACCCTGCTTCCTCCATATCAGGCAGCAAGTGGGGAGGGAGCAGGAGCCAATGCTGGGGGGAGCCAGCTTAAAGCCGATTCCCCCCAGCATCTTCTCCGTGGGGGGGCAGGGAAGGCAGAGGCACAGCAGGGAAATGGTGCGAACGGGACCTGAAGCAGTCCCTGCTTGCACCGGGGCCTGACTGCTGTGCCTCTGCCTTTGAAATGTAGTAAGCGCTCCACCTCACCCCTTATTGACTAACTGATGGAAATTCCATCGACTACTCGAATAGCTGATTAATTGAAATTTAACATCCCTACGGGGTAGAACTGCAGCATGCCCTTAAATCACAAATACTAAGACACATTTTTTATTAAAAATATATATATTTCCTTTAGCATACAAAAAATCCATAAGTGCTGCTACTGCTGTCAGCTCTCCCAGAGTTAAAAAAAAGAAAGCCCACATCTGTCATGTTCCTCCTTGTCTTCGATTTATTGAGCCCAGACACTGTTTCAGCTGCTACATCAAGTCCACTTTCATAAGCCAAGGAAGCAGCAGGATCACTCTCATTCACTACCAGGCTTGTTCCACTTTTAACAGACCACGTAGCTCATAGCATAGAGCAAGGGAAATACCCTCCACTGGGCTAATCCAGCTTCTTTATGGCGATCCGGAACAAGGTGTCATCCTACACACCCAAAACAAATCATTTTACACAGATCCTCTGTCTTCTCTCTGCAAGCTGGTTAGTAATAGAGCCCCTCACAGAGTCTCCGAAAAGGAGACCTTTAGAAGAGTGTCTAAGGTGGAAGGAAAGAAAAGAAGCCATTAATGTTGAACTACATGTTATTTTTATTATCACTCACCCCCCCTCAGAACTTGCCCAATTACCACTAATGACCAATGGGGAAAACTCACCACCAATACAGTATCTTAGGGGGACTAGTAAATGGGATACTGAACCTTTTGCCTCGATTCAAAGATTCCAGTTGCAGACAAATCCAGGTTTGTAGTGACTTCAAATTGTTACTATATAGTGATTGTTCAGCAAGTCTCAGTACAGTTCCCAGAGGACAAGAGTCCATACCACAAATACTATCCCACAATTCCAGCACTAGCTGACAGACATTGTGGCTGCATAGTACAGATTCGGGAGATAAAGAGTGTCCTTCAGACTTCAGGGTGACCATGCCAGCCCCTTTCAATAGCACTAAGCTCATACTATGATATTTAAGAGCTGTTATGAAAATACCTTGAACTATGTTTCGGCTGTTGTGCTCCAAAATCCTGTCCCAGGACTGCGGCAAGGTTTGCATGTCTGGCAAGTTCTCATATCTGATTTGGAGGAGGAGGAGTTTAATCTCCAGGTATCTTTCTGGAAGGTAAGGACTGAAATGCCAGGCTGGGGGAAGAGAATACACATGCAGGCTGACTTCTTAGGAAGCTATGAGCTGAGAGAGAGTAGGGTTCCATTGCAGCCCTGCAGTCTAAGTCCCACTCCCACCAGGACATGCTGAGAACTCAAGTTTTGTTGTACCTTGTCAAAACACAGTAACAGTAGACATTCCAAGTAGCTAAGCGTCTTCACCCTCTAGGAACCGTATTTACTAGTTTTGAGAATTAACTTATTAAAAGTGTTCCCTATTCATCTCATTTCCCTTGGCCAAAACTGGGAACAGGTACAATCTGCTTGAGCAGTCCATCTGGGTCCTTGATGAGGTTTTATTGCCACCTTACTGGTCCCAAGCTGATAACTCAAAAATAAAGAAAGGTAAATGCCGTTCTGTTGACATGAATCAAGATAATCTCCTTGGCCTGTTTGAGCTACAAACTTTTGACTCTTCTAGTGAAGGATACACATGTCGGTAATATCTCTCAATATCATGCAGCCATTCCAACATGTCAGCCAGCGAGGGGTTAAGAGCAGAACGCTGCACAGAAGCTTGAAATCCTAGCACATCCGCATTCTGCTCATAGAGTTGGAAAACAGTGCCCACGTAACCACTAACTGCATCCCGCACTTTCTGTAAGTCAGCTCTGTCAAAACAAGAGTAATACTTAGCACTCTATTTTCCAAAGGGTGGCCTCATTCACTTTACACCCCAAAACAAATTACATGGACATGTCTAAGTACCTGCTTTAAAAAAACCCAACAATGATGCATCCTGCAGTGACATTTGGGTGAGTTCGACAATATGCAGTACATGTTACTTGAACAGAAACTAGGGAATTAATGTGAGGAAAAGGCAAACCAATGTGACTATATAACTGATAATATAGAGCAGTTTTTAACCTTTTTTCTCATGACCTGACCCAGTTGAAGAAAATTGTTGATGCCCATGCCCTAACATAATTTGACTATAGTGTGGGTTCTGGGGTGGGGCTGAAGATAAGAGTTTTGGGGTGTAAAAGGGGGCTCTGGCTTGGGGGGGAGGTCAAGGCTGGAGCAGAAGGGGCTTACTTTGAGTGTCTCCCCATCAGTGGTGCTACAGGAGTTCTAAGGCAGGCTTCCTGCTGCTCCCAACACCAGACCATGCTGTATCCCAGCCAATGAGTGCGTAGCGAGTGCTCGGGGCTGGGGAAGTGCACAGAGCCCTCTCCCACTAGGAGCCGAGCCTATTACTGGCTGCTGCTGGTGCACAGAGCAGTTTGCGGTGCCAGGACAGGCAGATAGCTGCCTTCGAACCCTCACTGGTCACTCTGCAGGAATGAGACCCACTGCCTGACACTCCATGACCCAATACTGGGTTGTGACCCGTAGTTTGAAAACCATGGATAAAGAGCATGTTATTGAAAGTATGAACCAATTACATAACTTAGAGACATTGTAATTTGAAATCTAATGAATACTTTTAACCCCTTTAAATTATTAGGTATTACACATGGCTGAGACCTGCAGTTATTCTTGTGGTTTTACAGTTACCTATTTTTTTTAAATGTTTGTCCCACACAAATGCACATACTTCCCAGATTCTGTAAGAAAGACTGACACAAAATGAGGACAAGGCGTAAAAATGAATATTAACACTCGGCCAGATTCATAGCTATTGTAAATCAGCAAAGCTCCAGCAGGACTCAAAGGTGCTACATGGATTGACACCAGCTGAGACTCTGGCCCACCACATAAAGATGAAGTAAACAAACTGAAAGACAGAGAATAATTTTCATGTGTTATTATCATGTGTGTTAGGATAATAGCTGCAGCATTTCCAGAAAGAAGCGTGACACTTATCCCTTTGACTTGACTTATCCGCTCTCCTTCAGATGTGAACTCTGCAAATAGGCCAGACAGAGACATTCCAGCTCTCCCAGCATATCTGTCTGGGCTTTCATGATGCTCACAACTTTAAAGGACTTGACACAACAGCCTCTTACACTTTGCCTCCCAGTTCTTCCAGCAGGATCTCAGCTGCACAGCGCTGTTTGTACTTCAGCTGCTCTTCCAGATCTGGGAAACTCCGCAGTGGTGTATGAGCAAACGTGACCTTTTGGCAGGCCTGCATCTGCTCAGCCAGATTGCTGAGGGAGCTCAGAAGAGGCTTGCAATCCGTCAGCGCCTGCTGCCAAACCTCTTGCTGCTGCTGTACGGTGTGGAAGCACTTCTGCAGGGACTGACGGAGGACCAGAACGGCTGGGCTCTCGGACATCCTCTTATAGGCAGACCCAGAGTATAGCCCAGGATAGGCACCGCCCAGACACCTGCAATAAGCACACACAGGTTGTGACGGCACGTTGGGGGTCCCCCGTCTCCTGCACCCCGAAATGGCACAAACATACTGCACCAGCCGGTGGAATAGAGGAAGTTTATTGCCTCTTCAGGATACAGCACAGCACAGATGTAATCTGGTCCCAGAGCTGGGCTAGGATGCCTCAGGCCCCCTTGAGATGGGGGGAGACTGGGCCCCTAAACTCCAGCCCCTTTCCCTAGGCTGTCTCCTCCATGCTCCCAGACAGCCACCAACTCACTCTCCTCCAGCCCTGCCCCCCAGCCAGGGCAGCGTTCCACCTTCCTTTGTTCCTCTCCATGGGGGGTGTCTGGCCACTGGTTTGCATAGTGACTCATCCTGTTTTTCTGGGTCCTGGTACCCACGGCAGGGA